TTTGTTGTACAAGAACCATAAACTGATCATACCGAAATCTATGTGTCCAGAAATGCTGAAAATTGTACACAAATCTCATCTAAGGATCGTGAAATCGAAATCCTTGGCCCGTGATATCCTACATTGGCCAGGTATGGCAACAGATATTGAGAACAGTACCAAGAGATGTACTGTGTGCGGAAACCCCACGAGGGAATCCGAAAGAACCGCTCGTAGAAAAAGAGCTACCGGACAGTCCGTGGTTGGTAATATGAGCTGATCTATTCGAGTTCAAATGAAAGTATTACCTTGTATCAGTTGACAATTATTCTTAGTGGCCAGAGTTAGCCAAACTGGACAATTTAGGTAGTAGTAACACTATTTCCTATCTGAAAGGTCAAATGTCACGGTATGGAATACCTGACCCTGTTTTCACGGACAACGGGCCACAGTTTTCACCTGAAGAGTTCAAACGATTCAGTCACGACTATGGATTTGAGCATGTAACTTCCAGTCCTCGTTTTCCGCAGTTTAATGGTCAAGCGGAACGGACCGTCCAGACAGTAAAAACTTGATCCGCAAGGCTAAAGATCCATTTTGTGCACTGCTCGATCACAGAAATACGCCTATAGACGGGTTGGAAATGTCTCCCGCTCAAATGTTTCCTGGGCGTAGGTTAAAATATGAAAAACCGACACGCTAAGGCCAAACACAATAACGATAAACACGCAGGACGAAAATTGGAACCCCTTAGTGAGGGAGAAAAAATACTAATTCAAAATGAGAATCTCTGGATTCCAGGTGAGATTCAAAACAAACACTTAGTCCGAGGCCATATGTCGTAAAAGCTACCAATGGTCGTCGTTATCGTAGTAACCGTCGTCATAACGAACAGACACGTGCAAGTTTTGACCCCAGACTCTCTGTACAGTTACCAGATCTTCTGGATATGTCATTAGCTTCACAGGAAGTGGAACCACATGTGGTACCGGAACCGTTGTCACCACTACCACCACCTCCACCACAACCCAAGGAACCACCTGTGGTCACCCGTTGTGGAAGAGAGGTCAAGACATCTAGTCGCTTTAAAGACTTTTGCTCAAAAGTTTGAGTTTAAAGTTGAAAGTTAAATCAGGAGTTTTATATAAAAAAAAGACCGGGTTCAAATATTAAGAAATGTTTCTGAATTTCTGTGATAAGGTATATCAGAGAAAGAAATTTATTTTCATGGACTCTTTCTTGCATTAATCTAAAAAAAGAAACAAAAATACTCAAGGTTTGTTGAGAACAAGTTTATTACTAATACTAAATTCCCTTTTAAAAGTAATTCTAGTCAGTCTTGTTCAGCTTTTATCAAAAAAAAAGGAAGGATGTTATGTATAGTACTAGTGAAACGCTTGATCAGCGCGTTCTGTGTAAAGTGTCTTGATGATGGAGAATAAAGTGTGCTCATGTTCCATCCAAAAGACTGTTTGTTTGATGTGTGAACTGTACTGTGTGATTGATATGTGAACTGTACTGTGTGATTGATATGTGAACTGTACTGTGTGATTGATGTATGAACTGTACTGTGTGATTGAAGGGTGAACTGTCCTGTGTGACTGATGTGTGAACTGTATTGTGTGATTGATGTGTGAACTACACTGTATGATTGATGCGCGAACTGTACTGTGTGATTGATGTGTGAACTGTACCGTGTGATTGATGCGTGAACTGTACTGTGTGATTGATGTGTGATCTGTACTGTGTGATTGATGTGCGAACTGTACTGTGTGATTGATGTGTGATCTGTACTGTGTGATTGAAGGGTGAACTGTACTGTGTGACTGATGTGGGAACTGTACTTTGGGATTGATGTATGAACTGTACTTTGTGATTGCTGTGTGAACTGTATTGTGTATTTGATATGTGATATGTACTGTGTGATTGAAGGGTGAACTGTACTGTGTGACTGATGTGGGAACTGTACTTTGGGATTGATGTATGAACTGTACTTTGTGATTGCTGTGTGAACTGTATTGTGTATTTGATATGTGAACTGTACTGTGTGATTGATATGTGAACTGTACTGTGTGATTGATGTATGAACTGTACTGTGTGATTGAAGGGTGAACTGTCGTGTGTGACTGATGTGTGAACTGTATTGTGTGATTGATGTGCGAACTGTACTTTGTGATTGATGTGTGAACTGTAATGTGTGATTGATGTGCGAACTGTATTGTGTGATTGATGTGCGAACTGTACTTTGTGATTGATGTGGGAACTGTACTGTGTGATTGATGTGCGAACTGTACTTTGTGATTGATGTGCGAACTGTACTGTGTGATTGATGTGTGAACTGTACTGTGTGATTGATGTGTGATCTGTACTGTGTGATTGATGTGAGAACTGTACTGTATGATTGATTTGCGAACTTTAATGTGTGATTGAAGGGTGAACTGTACTGTGTGACTGATGTGGGAACTGTACTTTGGGATTGATGTATGAACTGTACTTTGTGATTGCTGTGTGAACTGTATTGTGTGACTGATGTGTGATCTGTACTGTGTGATTGATGTGAGAACTGTACTGTATGATTGATTTGCGAACTTTAATGTGTGATTGAAGGGTGAACTGTACTGTGTGACTGATGTGGGAACTGTACTTTGTGATTGATGTGTGAACTGTACTGTGTGATTGATGTGTGAACTGTACTTTGTGATTGATGTGAGAACTGTACTTTGTGATTGATGTGCGAACTGTACTTTGTGATTGATGTGCGAACTGCACTTTGTGATTGATGTGTGAACTGTACTTTGTGATTGATGTGCGAACTGTACTTTGTGATTGATGTGCGAACTGCACTTTGTGATTGATGTGTGAACTGTACTTTGTGATTGATGTGCGAACTGTACTGTGTGATTGATGTGTGAACTGTACTTTGTGATTGATGTGCGAACTGTACTGTGTGATTGATGAGTGAACTGTACTTTGTGATTGATGTGCGAACTGTACTGTGTGATTAATGTGAGAACTGTACTTTGTGATTGATGTGTGAACTGTACTGTGTGATTGATGTGTGAACTGTACTTTGTGATTGATGTGCGAACTGTACTTTGTGATTGATGTGCGAACTGTACTTTGTGATTGATGTGTGAACTGTACTTTGTGATTGATGTGCGAACTGTACTGTGTGATTGATGTGAGAACTGTACTGTGTGATTGATGTGTGAACTGCACTTTGTGATTGATGTGTGAACTGTACTTTGTGATTGATGTGCGAACTGTACTTTGTGATTGATGTGTGAACTGTACTTTGTGATTGATGTGCGAACTGTACTGTGTGATTGATGTGAGAACTGTACTGTGTGATTGATTTGCGAGCTGTAATGTGTGATTGAAGGGTGAACTGTACTTTGTGATTGATGTGTGAACTGTACTTTGTGATTGATGTGCGAACTGTACTTTGTGATTGATGTGTGAACTGTACTTTGTGATTGATGTGCGAACTGTACTGTGTGATTGATGTGAGAACTGTACTGTGTGATTGATGTGTGAACTGCACTTTGTGATTGATGTGTGAACTGTACTTTGTGATTGATGTGCGAACTGTACCGTGTGATTGATGTGTGAACTGTACTTTGTGATTGATGTGCGAACTGTACTGTGTGATTGATGTGAGAACTGTACTGTGTGATTGATTTGCGAGCTGTAATGTGTGATTGAAGGGTGAACTGTACTGTGTGACTGATGTGGGAACTGTACTTTGGGATTGATGTATGAACTGTACTTTGTGATTGATGTGCGAACTGTACTGTGTGATTGATGTGGGAACTGTACTGTGCGATTGATGTGTGAACTGTACTGTGTGATTGATGCGAGAACTACACTGTGTGATTGATGTGCGAACGGTATTGTGTGATTGATGTGCGAACTGCACTGTGGGTTTTCGTGTGGGCCTCTTTCACAGTATCTGTATTCTATCATAGGCTGAAATTTTGGTTGGAAGTACTATTTGTGTTCGTCGGAGTTTGGGAGGCCCAAAAGTTTTCCCTGTTGTCTGAAAATATGGCACCTCGTCGAGTTGTTTGTTTGCGTCAAGGTGATCAATTTCTATTTGAGTTGTTGATAAGGTTGTTGCTGGCAGATGAGGAAGTGATGGTATGTATGATAGGGACGAGTAAACCCTGTTGGACTTGTTTTGGTCGTATTCATTGGCATCAGTGCATGTTTTCTGCTTCGAGACTGATGTATTAACGTTTCAAGCGGTGTTTTTTGTTGTAACATATGTTTTTCAGACTGATTTATCTTCCTTTCCATTGAAGTGATAAAATTAGAAGAGTGTTTAAGTCTGTTATTGATACATTTGGAAAGTGTCTGGTTTCTTTTCCCCTCTATGGGTCGTTTTGTGTCCCTTGGTGTGGTAGTTTTGTCCACTAAAATGTGTCAAAAGAAACCCCAGAAAACATACCAGAAAGAGCATTAGGATTCATCAACCATGGTTAAATTTCATTCTTTTCTTTCTCAATTACAATGTGCTTAAATGTATGAATGATATGTATATATATATTCATCTAACGGTACACTACCGGTCTCGATTTTAGTTTATAACTTGGTTTTATGTTCGATATATGTGATGTAATTTATGTATTATTTGTATCTTATAAAGGGGCAGGTTGCTTTCTACTTCAATTTTTACATTCACATTTTAGTTGTCCCAAGGAAGGCCCCTTACCTTGTACATCGTGAAATAATGATTGCTCTTTGTGGTGGTGACAGCTGGTGTAGTGTGTTATTATGCATTGTATATATCTGTGTGTTTTATCATGCGTATTTGCAATGAATTGTTGAAAATGAAATGTACAGCATAATGATGTTGGTTTTTTCTATCACTTCCTGTAAATGCTTGTGTAAATAGGTCAGACGTGTCGTGTTTCCCAAGTTTACGAAGCACACTTTAACAATTTTCTTCCATTGATTTGTTTCTTATCTCCCTTTGACCGTTAACTAAATTATTTTTCTGAAACTGACTATACTGTACAATGAACGAATTCTAGCATCTCCACTGCTCAGCTTCAAGTGTATACATATGTCTGCAGGAATTGTGTGTGCTCGCATGCCTAAGTGACAAGGTCAGGGGTTGTTTACCGGACCAGGACATCACTGGAACATTCTTGTCGATGACTTCAGCACAGGTAAGGTGCATGCAGGTACTGCGTATATAACTCGACAACACTGCTGTATATCAAATAAGATTCGTCGTCATATTTGTTATTAACACGAGGATCATATACTGCATTAATGAAGTTAATTGCAAGGCATAAATAACACTAGCTAATCATAGCCTGTTGTATACAATATTGCTGATAAGCACCCACGTGTGATGTCGCCAAGTAGACAATAAATATATATATATATGGCGTAGATGGACAACTTGCGTGAGGTTACATATTTATTGCTGCAGAATATTGCACACAAATCTGTAGCAGTTTTTATATATGTGTACACTTTATCGACTAACACGATATCCTTGCCATGATGTATTGATACCTTATTTGTCAGCTTGATTGCATTACTCAAAGTCTTTATTTTCTTTTTCAATTGTTCTAATATTTGATGTTTTTTAGTTTTAATGACTCATGATAAGGAAACTTAGCAATATATTATCTATTGAACTCTCGTTTATTTGTTTGCTTTTGAGTATAACCTATGGACCATGTAACAATCCGAAAATGTCAAAGTTTAAAGATGACAGTGATATCAACGTGGGTGGTCGAGAGGGAAAAGTCCCAGCGCGCAGACGTTTGTCTTCAGGCGACCTTCCATTCATGACATTAGCTGGCTGGTCCCAAGTCAGTCCAGTAACATTAGCTGTAAGGATTTTAACACTTTGAGCGAAGTCCAAATGATAAAGTAAAATCAAAATATTACAGTGAAACTTGTAGTTTAGTTTAAAGTCTCAATAAAGGTACAAGTATCCAATAAGTTCTCCCAACAAAGTCTTTATACAAAGTCTTAATACTGTCCTATTCTTACGAATTGTTAGACTTGTGTGAAATTCTGACCAAAAGATAAAAACTGGAGAATAAAAATCTTCAACCCAAATATTAAAGCTATATTAATTTTCCTATGTATCCTATATATTTATCAACGTTTCGAACGTAGCTGTGTCCACTTCATCACAATTGCCATTTCAATTATTTGTTCTGTCTTTATATTTGATGAAGTGTAATTCGCATATCAAACTTATTGCAGGCAACACCTGATGACCTGTTGACACCGGAAGAGAGCTTCTTTATTGGTAGAGTCAGTTGCTCAGCTCATTCGTCCGTCTGTAAGGATGATGGGACGGAAAGTCGACACCATATCCGGTTAACGGAAGTGGTTCCCTCAAACAGCAGTATAATTGGAGGTTAAGTATATTTATATTTATGTTGTGCATTATGTTGTAAGTGGTATGGTATCATTATCAAATTGCACTCATCATTACATATATTATATTGATATTGGAAAGAGAACGATTGCTTTCTTTCTTAAAAACAATAAGGAAGTTTTGTATAATCTTGAAAGACGCAGTTGGTACAACATTATTGAATTTCAATACAGTCCACCATAGTTTCTTCATTATCGGACATAAATTTTGTTTTTATTTCTGCTTTGCTTATCAACGTAATCACATAACCTAAGTCTTTGTATATGAAAACTGACGACCTGAGCGGCATGGCGATGAGATACAGTCCAATATGTTGGAAAATAGCAGATCAGTTCTCAAGTGAAAAAAAAAGCAGAAAAAAACTAATGATGATATATATCTATCGTTGGTGTTCCTTTTCTTGATAGAAACCCTCCTGTTTCACAACCAGAGGTGTTTACTAATCGCAGCTGATTCAAAGGGTTGTTCTCAATATCACGATTTCCATGAAATGTGTTGACCGCTGACACATATGCATTACCAGGTTTTGAGGGTTCTTGTTTGACTGTGCGTTATGGAGGTTCTTGTTTGACTGTGCTATATGGAGGTTCTTGTTTGACTGTGCGGTATGAAGTGTGGATGTGTTTGATTGTCAGCAATATGATTTGGATTTCGTTAATACAACCATGTTCTCATTTGAAAAGATTACATCACATGCATAAATGAACCGAGATTTACACGGCCAGTGTCGTCTACGAAACACAAAGCGCTTGCCCTTCCGGAAAACATGGTCTTATTCTAATTGTACATTTTCTCGTGTAAATGTATAAATCTTTCTTTATTCTTATTTCACCGTCGTTTCATCTATTTCGAGTTTGAATTTAGATTTTGTTGATATGGCGGTATTTGTTTCCAGTTTTTTTCACTGCTTTCGACTTCCTCCATTCAGATTTCCCTGTTACATATATGTCAACTAAGCCATCTCCATGCCAAACAGCAAAACACAGTTTTCGTTTGTTATTGAAGCCCTTTAAGGGAACTGACAACTACTACTTTCCGGTAAATCGGAAAAAGGAGAGATTTCCTTTTCAACTGTAATCGCTGACCTGCAAACGATATTAAGACAACTTCCAAGCGTGATGCAGCATGAAAATCATTAACATATCTTTAAATGTACAGCTCGCATATTATAAATACTTAATCTGTGTTTGTCTACGGTGCACAAGTATGAGCTGTATTGGTCTGAGATACAAAATGACCATCCAGAACAATTGTTTACAAGGGATGGACAATGCTGCATTTGGGACGTCACTCTCATCAGGTAAACTTTCAAGTATTCAAGATCGTGTTTATGTTAATACTAACAAAGATGGGACAATATTGTGTACCATCATCATTGAAGATTATTGTCACTTCCTCTATCTGAATTATGACTTTTTGGATATAAGTTTGCTTTGAATAGCACCCTCTCTCGATTTCAATAATTCAATAATTAAGTTGTATTCATTATTTGGTATATAATGTATCTTAAACTAAATTGATGTTCATTGATGATGTTGTGATATCCAACGTGATCAGAACAACAGGCTGCAATAATATTATCTCCCCTTTACTGAATGCCTTATTTTTGTTTGTGATTTTGTGAAGAAAAATAGAAAAAAATTAGTTGTAAAGGTCTTTTTTTGGTGTGTTTTTTTACCATAGTCTTTTTCATGACTTCCGTAAACAACTTTCACAGAAAGTCTTTTTTTAGTTTGCAGTATAATAGTGTATGCATGTAATTGTAACATTCAATATGCATTTAAGTCCTTATAATTCATTCATCCATTGTAGCTTTCTAGTAGGTACCACACACGCTTGTAAAACACATCTCTCTCTCTCTCTCTCTCTGTCTCTCTCTCTCTCTCTCTCGTATAGGATTGTACAAAAGAAGCACAAATGCATCACAACTTTCAATACGTCTTTTGAATTGGTTACAGTAGAGTCAAAAAGTGAATAGAATCACGCAGCTATTTAGTCGTTCGCGGATGAGTCAGTGTCACATAATCACAATAGGCCAAAGTCAGTGTCAAAATGCAACATGAAAATACAGGTGTCTCAACACAATCATAATCCAAATTCAATCAAACTATTGCAATATATGAAAAAAGATTTACACGAAGAGCTTTTGAAAAAAGGAGAATAAGACCAGGTGTTCAAGAAAATAAGCGTCTTTCGCATCATAGACGACACCCCCATGGTACTCGTGGTCAACCCATGTAATGTCACGTTCTCAAATAAGAACAAGGTCTACAACGACGGAACCATGAGGTAAACTAACGAACATAAAATACGTCGAGCTTTACATCGCACAAAGAAATAAAATATTTCTCAACGAGATCACTATGACGACCGTAAACCGTCTCCAAAATTTTCAACATGCATCTTTTGGAATCCTGTGTCATGAATTTGTCAATCAGTGTCAATCAGTTGAGGACTACTTGCGCGAAAAACGTGATAAAGAGAACATGCCACTGGATATCGAATCAGCTGCGACAAGTAAATACTTTAGGCTGGTTATACAGGGATGTAGATTTAGAGGCGTATGAAGACTTATTCAAGTACATATCTACCCCTCCGTACTTAACATCCGTTGCTTATTTCTAGGAAACAATCATGATGCTTGGAAACCCTCCCTTGGCATCTTCACTTCTAAAAAGCAAGGCCACAATCTGGATAAGTCATGCTCGAAACGCATACGGTCAGTATACCATCACCATCATCATGTTTAAAATTTCGATATCGGTTGTCTGGTTTATTGATATACGTATCCAAAGTATATTTTGCTTCTATTACAGGGTTAGTGACACGAGTCGAAGAACTTTTTTTTATTCCTTTTTAATAAATTATATTACTTTTTTATTATTGAGAAGTGCTCAATGAATTATGCTCAAATTAAAATTGTATGTTTCTATCAGTTTTTCATTGTATATTGTTTGACAAGCAGCCATATTTTTGTTGTGCTATCCCAATTTCTTTAAGGACTTGACAGGATCATTCTTTGTCGATAAGGAGAATGATACGGTAAAACATAATGCCTGAAAGGCAGCCATCTTGGGTTATAATACATAGTTAGTTCACACTATTTCTTGAGAGAACTTAAAGATCAAGTGGAGGAAAGAAGGGGAAATATCCCACTTATTAAGGACCAAGGAAAATCATGAAAAGAAGTGCGCTAAGATCCCGATGGGATTTTTTGTTGTCTACAGTTGTCCACATTAATTCTTTATACGCATTTTGTTGTGTTCCAGTTTGCTTAATGTGTGCTACACATATTTTTTTGTCGAATTATTTTGTGAATTGTGTTGACGTTTTCAGATCATACTACAAGGCTCAGGACGAGTTAATTGAGGCTTACGAGGAGATTCAGTTAGAAGTAGACGATGAAATGGATAATGCTGAAACTGCTTTGAAACTCCGCCGTAAAGCAGTCTTCTACGCCAAGCTGAGCCTATTAACCAACGTGGTAAATGATCCTACACAAAAACATTGATACAGACTACTTAAACTGTCCTTAGCATACATATCACGCAGAGTGACGACCTGATGGCATGCTTGATAGCGTGTTAGACTTCCAACGTGACAGAGAGGTTTGATTCAGAAAAAAAATCAATACCAAATACTAACTTGTTCACTTTCATACTTATTATTGTATGAAATTACTAAGTGACATGATCTGCCGGATTAGTGACCTGGACTGTATTTCCTATATTAAGATGTATTTCTCCATTGATATGATTGTGTTCAGTTCTTCAACTCGTCCATATTGGACTTCACATCAGACTTTTCATGCTATATACCTTCTCTGGTGACAACATTATATCAGGGTTGTATAATTTCTTTAATATATATCTCTGATACTCCGCTTCTGTAAGTAATGTATGAGTGAGGGGAAGCAAAGTAGCAAGTCATCAGTGAATTGCTTTCGTCTTTCTGTCCCGAGCTAGAAAATAATTATCATGTAGATTAAGTCGTGGTTTGTCTCTACTGAATCTAAACCTGAATTGGTATGAAAAGGTGCTATTCACGTGTGTATCTTTTGTACATCCATCGTTAGACGCTGATCTTGTATTCTTTCTATCTTGCAGCGTCAGTTGACACATTTTTATCATTTTGTTAAGTAGCCTATTTGATTACCCTACCTTTCCTTTGAGAGGTACACTTAATCAGATGATATGTACTCACATACATGCCCCCTCCCTTTTCTCCTTCGTAATGGACTAGATTATTCCGAATCGCTAGAAATGTCTATGTCAAATATGTTTACTATCACCGTCAGAATGTAAGAAAATGCATATACTTGGTAGACTTAATGTAGCAGTGGTTGGTGCTAGATATGACTTTATACTGTCATGGGTTTTGCTCTTTGTTTCTCCTTAATTTGTAATAATATAAACTTGTACTGTCATGATCTATTCACGATCTCTATAATATATTCTACTTCTACGATGACGAAACCTCTTGTAAAGGTATTAGACTGTGTAATTATCTTCCTTGTTCACCAAAGTTGTGTTTTTAATAGTGTTCTGATAAGGGACATGTGTATTTGACTCTTGTTTAGTTGTCGGCGTTTCGATCCTCAACACGTGCTCAAGAGGAGAATATTGATAAAAAAAGTCGTTATTCTATCTAAGAATCGATTAAACAAAAAATGGACCAAGGGAGGAATTACACGGAGAAGACGGAGATTAAGACTTTTCAGAGAGTTGTGGAAATCATAACATTTTCCTATACTCCTCAGAAATTTGCTCGAAATCCTTAATTGCATTTTTTTCAGTTATCTGTCGACATCTATCCAAGATTCTCGGAATTTATGATATTGGTAAAAGAACATGAATATAAAATAAACTGCAACATTTGAATACTATATGCCGCCGAGGAATCCAAATACCTGAATAGAAATAAGATATTTCCCTGTAAGATAATCGAAACCATCACGCGTAAATGACCATAAAGCGCTGTCGAATGATAAATTCCAAATGGTCATTTTGACATTGCATTGGAATGTAATACTGTGATCTTTTCGGAAGATTAACCTTAAATGACTATTTTTTAAAGTAGACATTAGTTTGATTCCTGAGAGCAAGCACTGTGTCTTTGATAATTTCAGCAAACCCATACACTTTTGTATCTTTTGTTTGAAGGATACTTATGTAAATTGGTATTTTCAGTATTGATTTGTTTGTCAGTTTGTATCGAAAGTTTCAAAGAACTTCAGCTTCCGCTTCGCAGTCTTATACCTCAATTTAAGATACGTTGTGCCTCTGATTATATTGAAATAATATGCTAAATCAAACAGTGCATAAGTTCCATTTCTAACTCATTTCCAAAAGCTCCTGTTTGTGGCGAAGACGGTAGCGTCTGTGTTATCGGGCTCCATCTCCATCATTTCCAGTCTGGTGGACAGCTTTGTTGACCTTGCTGCAGGTCTGGTAATTTGGATAACCGCTAGAATGGTTAAGCGCAGAGATCCATATGTTTACCCCCAAGGTAAATATTTTGTTTACAGTGTCAAGGATGACACAAATAACGAGGATAAGTCATGTACAGGACTTTGTTTAAGTATATCAAGAGCGTATTTTAACAACCTACTATACAGTACCAAGGAATAACATTTAGTTTTGCGTGTTTGTCTCATTTATATACGATAGTGTGAAATTGGTAACGACTTTTGTTCTAGTGATATGTGTGATGTAGGAAGTCGCGATATAGTTTAGTCTAAGACATTAAAATTAGTAATGAGCCTTCAAGTACCAAAGTTCGTCAGGTAAAATCTTGATATGGTATCCCCGTTTCATGCACATGTGTACATAGTGAGTTTTCAGTAAGAATGAAGTTAAATAGATAACTAACTCATTGTCAGTCTTACCATGTCTAAGGTGGCAGTTTATGTCAACAATTATTTGTTACATCTTTAGAACTGAAGTCACTGGAAAGCGTCACCTGTTAATATTTGGTATTTGATATCAATTTCTTTTGTTGTAGGTCGAACTAAACTTGAACCTATCGCCATCATTATTCTGTCTGTGATCATGAGCTTTGCTTCCCTTCAATTAATCCGTGAGTCGGTGGAGAAAGTATTCGGTCTGTATGATGGTGTTGCTGTCCCACCAACAGTGGATATCCCAACAATTGTTATCACCTTGTCGGCTGTAGGTAAGTGTTTGTCAGACACGAACCTTCTCTAGATCAACAATCACCATGTCAGCTGTAGGAAAGTGTAAGTGAGACACAGAACCTCTCTAGATCTACAATCACCGTGTCAGCTGTAGGAAAGTGTAAGTGAGACACAGAAGCTCTCTAGATCAACAATCACCGTGTCAGCTGTAGGAAAGTGTGAGACACAGAACCTTTCTAGATTAACAATCACCGTGTCAGCTGTAGGTAAGTGTTAGTGAGACACAGAACCTCTCTAGATCAACAATCACCGTGTCACCTGTAGGTTAGTGTTTGCCATACATGGAAACCTCTCTAGACCAACATTCACCGTGTCACCTGTAGGAAAGTGTTAGTGAGACACAGAACCTCTCTAGATCAACATTCACCGTGTTAGCTGTAGGTAAGTGTTTGCCATACATGGAAACCTCTCTGGACCAACATCCACCGTGTCACCTGTAGGAAAGTGTTAGTGAGACACAGGACCTCTCAGTCGTGAGAGCAACTATCACCTTGTCCGCTTTGTTGTGGTCTTGGGGAGATTCGGAACCTTTCTACGTATACTAAAATTTTGTTACCTGTAGGTGACTGGTAGTCAGACTCGAAACCCCTCTATGCCATTTTCCCCGTTGTTAGCTGTTGCTGAGTGGGTAGTCAGTCAGACAGAACATGTCTTTGTCAACTATCACATTCTTAGAATGGCTAATCAAACTCGGAACCCCTCCATGTCAACTAACACATTGTTAGATGTAGTTAAGAGTCTAGTCTGACTCGTGAGTCGTTAGATCAGCTATCACTTTGTTAGCTCTAGTTGAGTGGCTATTCTGACTCAAAACCACAGTCATTTGGTCCACTATCATTTGTTAACTGTAGTGTGTGACTTGTCTGACTAGGAACCTCTACATTTAGCATGTTACTTGTTATACTCCAAACTTCGCTTGGTCAACTATCACCTTGTTGCAATAGCTACAGTTGAGTGACTGATGTGACTAGTAACCTCTCCAGATCAATATTTAGTTGGTTGGTTTGTGTAAGTGGGAATCACTCTAGATCGGTCATTTCTGTGTTAGCTGTATGTTGAAAATCAAACTTGAAACCCCTGTAGATCAGCCATCCCCTTGCCTGGTGTGCCAGGAGACTAGGACCCTGTTCTACAGCAGGCGTTACCTGGTCAACTGTTGGTAACAGGATAATCAGAATCGGAACATCTATATATCGGTTTATGTCAAGCAAATCAAAAGGACACAAATGTCGATTAAAAGAGGACAAAATATCAACTTAGAACTTGATATCTGTTCTGATTACTGATTAATTTAGCTTCGTATGAAAGCAAAACATATTACAGCCAACAGAGGGGTAAAATTCCGATTTCCTAGTTGTTAGAAATCAGTAAGATTTTAAGACTTTATCAAGTGCAATGAACTTTTACATAGCATTTCTTGGCCCAAGAGGAAGAGGAATAGTGTAAAAAACGATTTTATAAATAGCGAATTTTAAATGATTTTGCCGTTGATGTCCCTAATGCTTTGTATAATGTGTTTGGCATTCCAACAAAAGCATAATTTGATAATGCACAAAAATCTGGTTGTAAGATATGAAACATTTTGTTCTGTATCCTGTTGAATCTTTTCAGTGTCAAAACTGGTCCTGTTCCTTCTTTGTCGTCGTATCCGCAGTCCTAGTGTTCTGGCTTTATCTCAGGACCACAGGAACGATGTTGTCTCCAACAGCTTCGCTTTAATCTTCGGTTACTTAGGTATTTATATTTGTTTACCTTTGATTACTACGCCTGTGAGTTAATCGCTGTTACGCTTCTATAGATATATATTGTTGCAGTATATTAATTCGAGAGACATCGACTGATGTGAGTTACCGGATGACACCAGCTCTATACATTTTCAATACTTTTGTTAGTTTATTTTTATCTTTTAAAATTAGTGTGGTTGTGTTTAAATGAGCTAACTTTACAAATATGGATACAGTTTTGTAAATTGTTGTTGTCACATTCTTGTCTTGACTGTTGACACAACGATGAAGACAGTATATTTCTATAGTATTCACCTGCTTGAACATTTGAGAAATATATCCCATCTGCTTTCATAAAAAGCCATTGCTTGATGCTTCGAACACACCGGAATCTTCAAGTATAGACACTACTTGCACTATGACCACAATAAACATTGAAAACAAACATAGGCTTTGGACCATATTGACATGGAGAAGGATATAGATGATATTCGCAATGAAATAAATTTTAGGGACTCTTTAGGAAAGCGCTTACATTATGTCATATGACTAATTTTAATATGAATTTTAGTATGTTAAATTAACTGTCTTTTCGCTATTTTCAAGGTTGGAATAAAACCGCCGAAAATTGATACATTGCAAATCACATAACGAATACCATATACCACTTCAAAGGCTTCTGTGAAAATATTCTTCTTGCTTCAAATTTATAATAACGATGAATTTTAACCCACAAAACACACATTAACCAACATTACGAAGACTTCGACATACTTCAACTATTTCAGTGTGGATATCAAGTTAGTTTCTTGTGCCGTACCGACAAGAGACATCTGATGTAAGGGTATTCTCGTGACGGGCACGTGATTTACTTTAATATACTTACCCATCCGGAACACGTGGTCTTATCCTCTTTTTTTAAGAAGAATATGTGTAAATTTTCCTATTGTTCATATTTTTGCCTTGTTTCATCAAATTTGGGTTTCGTTTACATGACAATATTTCCCTTGCTGATTTGAAAAGACTTCTACCAATAGCCCGATAGTGCCCATCGGGTATGTGTATTAATCAACTACGCAAAACAAATTATGCTTCAAGGAGAGTTGTAGGATCATTAGTTTACGTGTGATTTTAAACAAGTTGTATTAGCTGAACAGACCAAGTCTTTGTATGTTTGCTTCACATTTTTATAAAGAAAATATTACAAAAGGTATCATGCCTTTTTATTTAAGATGTCACAATGATCTTGTAGTTGATTGTTTAGTTTTAAGATGTGTTATAGAATTATATATTAATTTATATATACATCGTTTATCTGAATGATGTTTTTCACTTTAAGGTTCTCAGCAACTGCTGAACAAGACTGGAGAATACGGCTTGGTATACATGGATCCTATTGGTGCTATGCTAATTTCGGTATACATTATAATTAGCTGGTGTATAACAGGATACAGTAAGTGTTCATTCGGAATCTTATGAGATTTATACAGGTATGAATACTAGAAAACAACATAATCATTCGAGTGTAAAAGTAAATTATATACAAATATTAACCTGGTGAAAAGGAGCCATACATATATATATATATTTATAATACATTTACTAATTGCCTTCTATTGTACAGTCGATATATTTTACCCGAGGTGGTAAACGTGTACGTAGTGGTATACTGTATTGCTATCTCGTGCACATGGTCAGCTACCAGCATATCAAGTTATTTTTGGGATATACTGTTTACCAAGGTCGTCATTTCGTTAAACCTATTTACTCTATGACAGTTGTCCAACTGAAATATGGTATGCCTTGGTATCTTTGGCTCTGGTCAACTTATTGTTACAAGTGTTATGACCCTTAGACTTAAAATATTTTAATATGTATGAGTTTCCGCTGATTTTCATATATGCAAATTATATTTGACATGTAAAGTATTATTAGCCTCAAGTCGGCTACTAATTAACTTTATTTGGTTGTGCACTCTCACTTAAGTAATACATAACAGTCTCAGAACAAAAAGTCCTGCAGATGCCTACAACAATAAATAACGCCATATTTCGCCTTGGTTTCAGACAAGGGCATTAGTGTTACACCGACACATCTAATTTGTTCGAATTTTAACTATTCTATAAGACGAAGATATATGTTTGTTACAAGGGAAGTAACAATATTGTCTTCAATGCAACTTTGTTCTGAAAATGTTTACATTTGTTGTAACTCTTCAATAAACAGTATTATCTCGTGTACAATCCAAACTCAAATTTGATGAAAGTAGAGAAAATTATGAACAAAAAGATATACACGGACACTTCTGAAAATATACAAGGAGAATAGAACCAGGTGTTCTGGAAAAGTAAGCGTCTTCTGCTTCATCGACGGCATCCGCTATGTTTAAGTCTTCTCCATATGCTCTCTTATCAATCAAACCATAAAAATAAGATAAACGTCATTGTAGTCTTTTTCACCTGACATAATCGGTTTTTCATCTCGCTTAATCCAGTAACCGATAACCGTGTAACATTGTTCGAGAAAAAGAGAAATTGATAAGACAATTTCAAATGCCATCGAAATTAACGGTAGTTATTTTAACAGGTGAACAAACTAGACACGTATACCATACACGAACTGTTCTATAGTATATCTATCATGGTCTATATATAAAAATAAATCGTATCAGTATATAACGAAGCTGCTCAATATATGCAAATAAATTAATACTGAAGTATACAAGAATTATAATACTCAAACTCAGATATAATGTTGGACGTAAACAAATATAACTCTAATCTCGTTTTTACCAATTATTTTTAGCTCAAATAAAACATCTCACTGGACACACAGCCAAGCCGGATTTCTTGAAGAAGTTGACGTGGATTTGTGTGAACCATCATCCCAAATTGTTGTTTGTGGACACCGTAAGGGCCTTCCACTTCGGTAGCAACTTCTTGGTAGAAGTAGACATCGTGCTTCCCGAAGAAATGAAATTGGTAGAAGCCCATGATATCGGAGAGACTCTCCAAAAGAAATTAGAGCGTTTGTCAGAAGTTGAGCGAGCTTTTGTTCATTTAGATTACGAATATGAACATAAGCCGTCAAGTGAACATAAAACGGTGTAGGCGCTTCAGAGAAGACCATGCAAGATTCGTCATATGATAATATGCATTTATCTATGGAGACGTACGTGTTTGTAATGAACACAGTTTTGTATTTGTTAAAGGCAAAGACAGTCTTGATAAACTGTTACTAGTCATAAACATCGCAATGTAGCAAAAAGACTTCTGTACGTTAAAGATATGAATCATCCCACAGAATTATGATTGCTCAAAATACAATGGATGACATTTGAAGAATTCATAGTTTTCGTGGTTTATTTATTGACGTTGCATTGATTATTTCATGGGGAAAACTGATACGTTTCACTATCTTTATTTTGCAACTTTAATGTATGTAGTAAGTTCCAGCAGCAAACATTTAATTACTTAAATTGTGAATTAATAATGTTCACTTGCGTGATATTGGTGCTGTAATAAATAAATGCTTCTTCAAATTGATCCGCTTTGATAAATAGTTAATTCATTTGAGTTGTGATTCTTAATTCCATCATCGTATTTGCTGCATATAGACGTTGATACATACGAACGTGGACTTTTAGATTTATTACTTAGAACGAGCAAATTCAAAATTGGTCACAACTAACACAGTATTTATTTGTAGAAGTTAACTATCTTTTGGTGAGATAACTGGTGTACAATAAAAATGAGACAGAATAAAATGTGCCAGCAATTTTCATGACAACAAACTAGACATAGTGTCGACAATCAGAACACACATAATGATTGGTGTTTTATCATTAAATGATATATTTCCTTCACGAAAACTGAAGATCGCCAGCTTATCCCCAGAGAATAAAGTAAACGAAATTATAAATCCCACACACTAGATGACAGTGACATGCTGACAAACGTTTCTTCAAATGTCTTTCGAGCTTGTTTTTTAGACCCATTATTATAATACAAGTGTTGACAAAAGATCATTATTTCTTTAATATTTATACGGTGCCGTAAATTTTGTACCTCAACCTATTGTTGTATATACGTCCGATTACGTTTAAAACACTAATATATCCATGTTATCGCATCTCTTTACAATTTTTATGCTAAGAGAATTTTCAATGCTCTTCAGCATGTTGCTGTCGCCCCTGAGTATCAGTACTTCGTTTCCATTGGTTCATAAATCGAATGTTTACTCCTACTCCATCTGCCGGACATAACCGTAATCATTGGATTATCGCCCCTACAAGTTGCTGATGCTAGTCATTAAATGAAACAACCTTATCGACATTTTCTTCATTATTTGTACATCAAGAAAACGTTTTGTGTTGTGTATTAATGATAAGCAGACATCGAAATTTGTAAATACAATGACAAAGACTCACGTTTTATGGTGGTAAATTTTGCGAGGCGATGCCAATATGGCGGCTTAACTTTCTTTTCCGCGCGATGCATTGTGGGTGTCATATACATTTGTATTACTTTCTTTTTTTTCTTTTTCGAAAATTTACTTCCCATTTAATACTATTGAAAATTATTAAAATACTGAAATATGTAGCTGAAAACAAAAATGAAACTAAAATAAGAATGATTTAGAGTAGCATAAAATTTTGACGGAAACAGCCGGGGTGCTCACTGTTGCTGGACCCTGAAAGAAGACGGCGGCTGAAAGAAGACGGCGGGTAATTTATGTAGGTAAGTATCTCTCTCTCTATAGATATATAAGCTGAATTTAAAGTCAATACTTATACTGAACTAGCAATTGCATTTTTTGCAACAATTCATTTGAAATGAGCCATCGCATGTATTGCATTTAGGCTCGACGGCGACGCGCAAGCTGGGCACTGCCGCCATGGCACCTTTTTTTTTCAAAATATTTTCAAGACTTTTCCTTTGAAGCAGTATGCATTTGAAAAATGTTGTGTAAGCATCTAGCATATTTTTGTTGCTTCCGTAAAGTATTTCATTATTTTGAAATGGATTTATTTTTGAATGATCGTTTCATAATGGTCTCATCGCAGTCATTTCTGTCAGTGGCCCAACAGATCGGAAATTAAACAGAAAAAAACTTATCCGTAATATTGTACTGTACTACTTACGCTACCGTGAATAGATCTAGGATACTATCTGTGTAATATATCGATTTTACTTTAAAATATCGGTCACTGTCCGTGCTATTGTAGATCTAGCTCTTTCAAATTCCTGATCGGAGATAATTTATAAGTACCCCAAATCCAGGGTATGAAATCGTACGGGAACTCTACAGCTATGCCAGTTGTAAGGTTTACATGTGAAGTTAATATGTATAGTTTTAGCTTAAATCTAGTTTTTGTCTTTCTGACATGATGTCTCGTTGATTCTGTTGAAGAGTGATGCATGTGAACGATTACAATATGAAGATTGGGAATAATGAAGATGTCAATTAACATCTGAATCCCGGAAAGTGTTTTAATAACGATTAGGATAAACCTATCAAAGTGTTAGGTCCCAGTGTGAATGTGTAAGGTGTAAGGTCCCAGTGTGAATGTGTAAAGTGTAATTGGTACAATTCTTATTATGCCTGACCGTTAGTACAACAATAAGATGTCAATAATCAATGAAATTGATTAATTAAGAGGACATTTTCTTAGTACAGTTAACCAGGCTTTGTAGTGGTTTGTTCAGAACTGTAATTCTGGTTAAGTAACCATTAATTATGTCCTTTCAGCTACAATGACATACATTTTTGAAATACCTCTACTGTAGCTAAATGAGGCATTTGTAATAGACAGCTAAAGTTAATTTTAGGATCAGTTAGGACAGCTACTGTTTGGGTTCAATTACATGATGATGTGATTAATTAAATTACAATTACATTATGAAAATGGCATTGCCATTACATGACGGTCCAATGTAATTAATTTAATTAAATTACACATTACTTTTCAAGTCAAAATGATTTTTGAAATACAAACGTCAAAATAAATTATCATACTGCACAAATTTATCACACAAATTTAACTTTATGATTCAATCTCTGTATGACCATGGTCAAGATATTATTATTTTGCTAGCTGTCCATCGCTTTATAATTTGACAGTCTTGAACGTCAAAATAATTAATTGCAATATATTTAATATAGACTCCTATTGGGAAGTTCAAGACTATAAGCTTATACAGAAGTGTATATTTCTTGCACATAATCATAGCAATAAAGAAATATTGTTATTTATTTCCCTTACTCTCTTTCAGCAGGTGGATGTCCCTGAACAAATGAAATCTGGATTTGTAGAAGGTATCTGTATTGATTTTTCTAACTTGGAATTGGCCATTGTGACCAACAATGAATTTGAGGACCTTATGTTGGAGAAAAATGTCCTTCTTTCTGGCCTCCAATTAGATGTTGAAGATGATTAATCACTTGAGGAGATGCTAACAACCATCTTGCCTTTTAAGGTCACAGTACTCTCTAAAGGCGGCAATATATTTACCATCACAAAAGAAGAATCAACAAATCGAGGAAACTAAGCAAATGTGGAAAAGATCATTGTATACTGCATTTGTAGTAAATTTGTATACAATCTTCAATTTACTTGAGTAGAAAGATTCACTAGTTATACCAAGTTTGTGTAGAAAGGATCACTGTATACTGAGTTTGTAGTGTACATATAAAGGTTTACTTATTTATTTTTTATGAGTTAAGTGTATACAATATATATATATAAAAAAAACTTTTTGTAGAAAAGATCACCGCATACTGAGTTTGTTGTTTACAAATGTGTAGAAAAGATCGCTGTATACCAAGTTTATAGTTTACAATTGTCTAGAAAAATCACTGTATACTGAACATAATACGACTTCATTTAAACTTAGGAATGTATTTTTTTTTTTATTTGTCTTAAAAGTCTACCTACAACAATTTTGTGTATGCAATCTTGTACTAGGATATTGACCTGACAAGATTGCATTGCTGATCAAAGCATGGAAAGAATACTGTATCTAAAAACTGAATAAAACAAGATATAAGCATCTTTATCATGTTTTTATTATTATTATTATCATTATTATTATTTTTCCATGATGTCTGTCCACATGGAATTTGTAAGCACTCTTGTGCATTCTTATACCACCAAAAGGGTGGGTAAATCGAATCAAGTTGTCTATCTGTCCATCCATCTGTTTGTCTGTCTGTAGACACATCTTGTCTGGACAACTCCAATGAAACTTTACAGTAATATTGGGGACAATGTGTAGATGTGCATGCACCATTTTCCCTCGAAATATTGATTGCCATGGCATCTGGTCAATATAGACAGGTTTTGCATGTCGGTCAACTTCTAAACCTGTGGCCCAATTTCAACAAAACTTCGCAGGAATGTTAGGGAACATGTGCACATGCCGTTGTGTTTCAGATGATGTTTCTGTGCAAAAGGTCACCATGGGGAGATAACTAAGGCTGTGGATGTTGGGGGTATTAGTTATCATTTGGATTACAGTTTCAGTTATCCCTGGGCAATGTGGAGAGGATATAGTAATGATTTTGAGGATTAAATGTAGAGGTCACAGTGCTTGCATAAGAACTATATGATTACCTTGTAAACGCATTGAGACTAAGACAGTTAGTATACCTTAATCAAATTTGGAACATGTATCCCTTATGAGGAGAAGTCGGTTTCTTTAGAAATTCAGGGTCAGATGTCAAAGATCAAGGTCACAGTCAAAAAACGGATAGTTGCATGGGGTGTTTTCCTTTGCATTACCCTCGTTTTTCTATCAAATTTCACAACCTAAAAGATATTCACATCTTGCAAATTTCAAGGTTCAAGGTCACTGTAAGGATGTTAAAAAAGGATAATACAAGAGGAATAAAATATCTTGCGACAAGTTTTAGAGAACAAAAAATATATAAACATGTCAACAGAATTGTAGAACCAGCAAAACAAGTGTAAAATTGAAAAAAAGACAATATCTACTTGAAGATTCCCTGAAAAAGTACAGGAGAATAAGACCAGGTGTTCCGGAAGAATAGGCATCTTCTATTTTAAGCTATGGTGACAAATCATGTTTGTTTTAGAAAATTGGCACTCTTATGCAGTCATTTACAAACAATCTGGAAAATGAAGCTGTCCAATATTTGTATGTAGCATGTTATTTGCATGATGGTCTAACTAATGGTCTTAAACCAACAAGATACGCAGTCTTTAAAGTGATAATATGGTGTCCAAGATCAACATTCCCTACAATGTATCCAAAGAAATGGACAACTTCAATATCATTGCATCTTGGAGCCTACTTGGGACATGTATTACATAAGTAATACTACTATGCTTTTTATTTTTTATATCTGCTGGTCATTTTTTATGGGCTGCAATGATTTACTGCTTGCATATAGTTGGTTTCAGTATATAGCAAGCTAATAACAAAGAATTTATTTTTTAATGGTCATAGCAGACCAGTACTTTCAGTACTTTGATTACTGAATTAATTGAAAACTTCTTCAGTGACTCGCTTCCCCAACATAAGTTTTACGTAATATATTGCGCACTTTTTCAGTGACAAACTTCCTCTATTTAAGTTTTACTGAATTACTGCATATAACTTCTGACTAACTAAAGTTTTACCGAATTCATGGCACAATACTTCGGTAACTAACATCCCAGATTGAAGTTTTACTGAATTCTTTACTTTCGCTTTTCAAAGAAGAGAATAAACTTCTAATACAATTTAGTATTATATACATTAGTATCAAAAAATCAAATAAAACTGCACTTAACAGTTCTTGTGTCATTCTAGGACTCGTCAGTGATGCTAAGGCTGTATTCTTTTAATCATAGGCGACGATTGAGGAAATACAAAAAAGTGATCGAAAATATCACTTAAAATCCAGATGGGGACCTGCACTAACCTCATAAACGATCAATTTAGTAATTTTGGAATTATGATAATTTCAGAAGAACATCAAGTACATGTGTATATTGTGAACTGGGCTACGACTTGAATATATTCAAACAAGACAAGCAGGGCACGACAAAATCCACAGACTCAAAGTCTACAAGCAGAGTCAACCACCCTATCTCAAAGATTGTACAAAACACATACAATCGAATCGTACCTTATAACACAATTTAGAATTAGGTAGTCTCAAATAAGTAATTAGACTGCGTCATACAGACTCATAACTGATGCAAAGGATTCGGTTTTCGAAACCTAGGAGACGACCGAGGAAATCTGAAGTAATCGAGAAAAGATATTTGGGTTTGATGATTTTAAGTTGTAAGTAACTCTTTAAGTCTGCCTTTTTCAGAAGCCAACAATCTACAAAGTTTCCGATCATCCTGTGGTCTTCCACTTCTCGGCAAGTTTTCTACATACCTTGTTGACTATACCGCCTGAATAATTTCTTATTGTTCTTCAATTTTCCCTGTTTATTTAGCTGGAGTATAACTGAAATAGCCTTGCACAGATAGATGAATGAAGTTTTTTTTTCACCCTCGGGGTCAGATGTTCTCCACCTGGCGCCATCTTGCTAGCAGACGATATTTTCAGATTTACCTTGACTCGTGTTAACCGATATATGACAGAAATTTGATGTGATGTACGTGATTAAAATTGAGGTTACTATTCTGCAAGCAAAAACTTCTATAAAAATATTTTGGAACTTTTAATAAAGCACACATGACAATGAAAGAGTAATCACGTTGAAATCAAAACATACATCTTTCGGTCGTGATAACAGTGACTAGAATGAGAGAAAGGTACCTAAATGTATGTATAACGTGAAACTGGATGCCTCGTTCACTACACACTGTTTATACATTAATATGTGGTATGATTCTGTCTGATGTACGTCAACAGAGGTCTCAATCAACAGAAGTTTAGTAACGGGTTAGCCATGTAGATGTGCATGGTAGACAGACGCGGGATATTCAGCAGACACTGGGGTACTGGATTCATAAAGGTCTGAAAGACACAATCATTCATGTAAATTAGCATACTTGGCAAATAGAAATGTGACAGAGTATGTAGAAACTATTAGGTAGATTCTGAGCCGTGCTGCTGTTTCCGATCTCTGAGCGACAGGGAAAACAATGACTATGATATATTTTGTAAAAACCTTTCTATAAATCGGTGAGCGACATACCTGTATGACATCGTGTGGAGGATGTTCCATCCTTGGCGATGTCATGTCCATACCGATAGCCCAGCCAAATGCGTTCAGTCTACCACGATTATACAGTAGGAAGACTGGGAAGAAATCGTCACATGGCATGTCGGATTCAACGTCATACCAGTAATGTACACCTATAAAAGATCGACCCATGAATTAAGAATATGTGTGATGGATATAAAGCTTGTAATTACAGAACCTCTTCCTATTTTAAAAGTTGCGAGAAGGAGGGTCATGAACCCTTCAACGACCTTGAATTGCTGAATTGAAAGCGATTTGGGTATTTCTATTACTTGCTGATCATTAGAATCTTTAGAAAAAAATAATGGTAATCGGATTTGGTGCCATTGTTCTGCAGATGTAAGAATCAATTGATATTCTAATGCATTTCGATCTATATTTATTAACGTTTATTAATAACATTGCATACGATATATAAAAGACATACCCATGCTGAAAAAACAATGTCCCCTTGTCCACTTCGTGGAAGCGAGTCCCGATTCGTTCATTGGGATTTCCAGAGAGTTGGCAACGGGGTTGGTGCCATTTTGGATGTAGAGAGTGTTGCCAGTGCCATTAGCTGCGAAGTTTTCTGCAGTCCTTCCATTGCTACAGATGGTTGCTAAAAATGATACCTACACAACTACTCTTTTTATATAACTTTCAGGTGCGGTATATTGTGCTTAAAACATAAATACTCATACTGATTTTTGAAAATGATTCATGAGAAACGGCAAACCTCTGGGACTGCAGTCTATTGGTTACGTCTATAATTTGAAGTCTCCACACACATAAGCGAGTAGTACATTTTGATGCCAATTTAGAATAAGATACACTATAGCCAAGCCATGCTTAACTGCATCACACTGCTGCTTATCTTTGTGTTTCATATACTGAGAGGAAAACGAATTAGGAATTTCCAGGTCAACTACGGGAAATAGAAAAGGGTTTTAGAATGTAAGTATGGTGTAACTGGAAGATAGTTGACCACTCTGTCATCTACGAGAATTTCATTCGTGTACGTTAAGTAAACCTTTCAGATTTGACGTTCATTCAAGAGTACCCCACTCAAAATGAAGTGCGTTCTGGACCTATCAATATCGTGTGTGCCCCCGCGAGCTGCAGTAACTGCACGAACTGTTTTGTGCATTGAATTGATCGGGGTATTAACCCTCCTCATTGGTATACGATTCCATTCCTCATCCAGCTCCAACTCCAACTGAGCGACATTGATTGGAGGATTCGACTTACGTCTTATCCTTTCCAACTCGTCCCATACATGTTCTATTGGGGAGAGGTCAGGGCTGTATGGGGGCCAGTCTAGGGTGGGGACACTGTTTGCTGCGAGATAACCACGGCAAACCCTCGCTACATGCGGCCGGGCGTTGTCCTGCTGAAACGTCAGTTGATGCTGCTGCACTAGAGGAACAACATGTGGCGCTAGGACTTGATCTCTATAGCGGACGGCCGTGAGATTTCCCTGAATAACGACCAGAAGAGTCTTGATACCATGCGCAATCCCTCCTCATACCATGACCGATCCTCCTCCAAAGCGGCCATTCTCTATCACGCAAGCATCTGTATAACGCTCGTGGGTACGTCTTTATTCACGACGTCGGCCGTCTTCCCGGTAAAGCGTAAACCTGGACTCATCTGAGAACAGAACCCTTCTCCAACGTTGCATTTGGAAGCGTCTCACGGAATTTGCATCCAGCCATTGCATTCGTCTGGCACGTCGCCGCGCATTAAGCTGTGGTCCAGCATATAGCCGTCGCGGTCTCAGACCGAAAGCACGCAGTCGTGTACGCAATGTCTTTGGATCAATTGGAACATGATGACGTCCAATTGTGTCCATTGCTGTTTACGTGGCCGTCAGAAAGCGATTGTGTAGGTGCGAAAGTCGCATTGCCCTATCCCGCCGACGCGTCGTCACACGAGGGCGACCTGATTTTGCGGGGTACCTTGCATAAGAAGTGCAATGACACGACCCCTGTCAACTTCGGACAGTCGTGGCATTTTTTACGGTGAACTGTTTATGCTTAAAATGTGGTAAATCAAGACGGATATGTCTGAAGATTCGCACGCACAGATTTTGAACCAATCCTTTATACTGGGTTAGAGATATCGTGCTTTTGTCTCTTATTCTTTTGTACAAGCGGCGTGCGGTTTAGTTATGCATCAGTGATTTTAATACGGTACCATAGGGACCTAACTCAAATGCACACATTTGTCAAGTTTCAAGGGTGTACGTCAAGGATACAATTCACAATATTACCTTTCTGCTAACTGTGTTTCTTTTTCCTCTCAGTATATAAGGATTATGATATCTTCGACGATGCAGGTATAACGAATTTAGAAAAAAAAAAAAAAAAACATAGCCACGAATTTTCATGAAACATAGACAACATACGTTATCTACATTGTTAGAACAGCGATGGGTTCAATCTAGTACAGTAGGCGGCGCCACTTGTGACTTGACGTCAATGTCAATAAAACAGATCTATGGGAAAATAGCTCGATTTTATTTACTTCTTCCAAATATGTTACATTATGAAACAATACATCTAGATGTATTACATGCCTCTTCACATTAAATACATTTTATAAATTTATGGATATAATGAAACACCATGCATTTCCGTACATATAACGTAATTTCAGAGTTGTAAATGCAAACATTGGTATTGGTAGGCGTCATCTAGAGACGCGAGTATAAATATTAGTCAAAACCATATAATGAGTGTGCACCTAAGATTTATTTTTTATGTTTACCTGGGTTGGTGAAATAGGCTGTCAAGAAATACATGTCGCCCACTTGTACGAATGTTTGGTTGACTTGCTTGGCAGGAGGAAACTCAGCACCGTCGACATGAGGCACCTATTATCAACGAAAACCTTAATAACTTGTGAAGCTGTATACAATATTTATTCAATTATTACAAGAGTGGATCTCAAATCCTTTTAAAAGAACAAATGTAAGACCTGCAAGTTGTAATCAGATATAATCAGACATTTGATATGCCACAGGCATTTGCGAATTTACTATGGTCATGAGGTAGTAGTATAATTTATTTTATAATTTCATTGATATTTAAGTAATACTTTATTATATGCAGGTTTATGATGTCAGATTATCGTCCAAACATTTGTCCTGATACAAATATAACGAGGCTATCATTTAAAGTGATAACGTAAATTATGATACAATATTGGGTAGTGTTCAACAATTATACCCATCAGTAAATACAAAGAATGCTGATAACGTTATTTGCACTACAGTGCATTCAGTGCGGATTCCATGCTATTCTAACTATACTTACGCCAATCTGGATCCCAGCGATGTATCCGTTGACTCCGTACAGAAGGACGACTGAATAGTCTCTTCCCTTCACAAATCTGTTCCCCTTGAAACTGTTCATGTCTTCAAAATCAAATAAGAACGGTTATAGATTGTTACATTTGATTTTCTTTTATTACACTTGATCATTCAATTTTTTCTTTTCTTTTTCAAAATCATGATCAATGATTTCATTCAAGTGATCTGTTTCATTAAATAAGCCATGGATCAACCCTATTGAATAAATACCTGTTAATATGTGTAGGTTATCGGATATACCAAGTAAAATACTCCAACCGTACCCGGAAACACCGACTCGTCAAAATCATCCCTTCTTGTATCCAACTCTAAGCTCGAGTTTGACAATAGTGTTTGTAATTTGACTGAATCAAACGTATTAATTATTCTTTTAATAGGATAAACCTTGCGCTAAATAAAATTTCTCAAATTTAGACCAACTTTGGTTCATAAAGCCAAAACTAATTTTTGTAAGTTAAAGATATCTCTCTCTCTCTCTCTCTCTCTCTCTCTCTCTCTCTCTCTCTCTCTCTCTCTCTCTCTCTCTCTCTCTCTCTCTCTCTCTATATATATATATATATATATATAGTTACGTACTGTTTATTGCAGTTGCAGAGAGAGCGATGTTATGAATCTATGGCGCAAGGTGTTTTCGTACACTTGAATTTATAGCATATTTCTATAATCTATATGCATTTACTTCCCTCTTTGGAACGAATTTTGGAGGATTTCTATATTTGAACTGAACTTGCTACGGCTATTGTAATAGAATCATGTACGGATAGCACAGAAGAGTTCCAATACTTTTGAGTAACATTAGCACCGGTGCAACATTGTAGACTTTATGGAAATATGTTATTATTACATCAAACTATCTTAATTCCACTTTTCACTTGAATGATTTCAACGATAAATTGACAAATACCTCATTTTCATGCAGATATTGCCGTAACATCGCCTCATCGCTTGGTTAAATCATTCTTTTTAAATCGAATCTTGAAAAACAATCAGACAGGCAGTACTTATTGAATGGTTAACCCATACTCTTTCTGGTAATATGAATATTTTATCATATGATGTCATTTAGTGGTTGCATCTTGCGAAAATCGATGTTAGTGTTGTTCGATATCCGTGTCACGTGACTTAAAGTAAAGTGCATATGAAATCAAAACGTCTCAACTATATCAGTGCGATGAAACCTGTACCGGATAGGGAATGACGAAGGCTATGAAGTAGAAGTAAACAGGTTAAATACTGAAAAGCCATATTAATGTCGATGTGTTATCCTGGTACTTTTTCTAGAATCTCGCTGTAGATTTGTCTTGCCATAGTTTTGTCTTGTTTTATTGAATTCAAGTTTGCTTATGATGATGTTTGTAAGTTTACAGTAGATGTTTGTATGGTGAAACTATTTTGATGGTTTTGCTTCACAATGATTAGATCAAAGAAGATGTGGGTCGACCATTTTGAACCCTTTTTAATGAATTAGAAAAATGAATAAGAAAATAGAAAAACAGATGTCTGGACAGATAACTATAGCTATAATTATAAGACACTCTAATTATTGTTTCACGTATTCTGAACTGTGTCAGGGAACTCGGGTTATTTCTTCCTCAAATGACGAAAATATATGTCACAATATGACAAAGTTTTGTCTGGTTCTTAATACAAAGACCTAAATTGAACATAATCTTTGAAATATTCAGACAAAGAAGTTTAATAATATTTTCTATACCCGCAATTACCTTCGCAACCTGATATCTTGTTGTATCCTTCATTAAAAGCATCGTAGGTGGTCCTTGGCATTGAAGTAAAAGCGTAAGGTCCGATCGGGAATGGGGACCACGTCACTATAGATGCAATGATAAATAAATAGAAAAGCAACAAGGATACAATATACATTGATATATTGAACCAATCGGTAATATATTCTGATAATTGATTAACATTTTGAACCAAACGGTTAATACCTAAAGCCAATCGGTTAATAGATATTGAGACAATCAATTAATATCTTGAACCAATCTCTTACTTTCGAAAGTCAATCAGCTAATATCTTAAAACATTCGTTATGATACACTAATAAAACAAATGAATCAATATGAAGACTTTTTATCAAATTTTCAAAAATAAACAAAACAAATAGTGAACAGTCCAATCTCTTGTGTTAAGTTTCAAGAATGGTTGAAAAGTATCTGAGTTGTTGTGCAGACAGAATTATACACATGTTTCTGGGCTAGGTATTTTTCATTTTACAGAACCTCTTACTTAGCTCGTACATTAGTTTGACATCAGATCATTTGTATTTTCTTTGTTACTTTCTTGTTAGTATATCAGTTATTTGTCTTTTAGAATATATATACAGAACCTATCACTCCTACTCTCATGTCAACAAGATTTTAATATTTAGCATCGAACGTTGGTCACGGTCAATAGATCAACAGTCGAATGGTGCTGGGTTGAATATACACGACAGAACTTTCTTTTGTTAATTCGTTTAGTAATAAGCACGGCAAGCTAAGATTGTGATTTACACGAATGTCTGGGGTAACCTGCCTGTAGATATGTGAACTAATTATTCAGGACAGGACTTCCTTTTTTTGATTTGTTAAAGAGGCATAGGTTAAATGGAGGTATACATGATTGTAAAATTTGTAAAATTACCTGTCAGTAGACGTATGGTCTAATAGTATTTATTATGTTGCTCGGTTGTATATACAGATATCTCATTTGTTAACTTGTTTAAGCAGAATAGACAAGAAAATGATATTTGTCTAATTAGTTGCCTAGTAATATACAGAACAGAATATGCTCGGTCAATATAAAAGGCTTCAGACAGATCCATCAACTAAGTTTAATCAAACAGGCTAAAACGTACGTTAATTATCCTGACTAGCATAAGAAACCCATTAATTTAATATACAAGAGCAGTGAGCTTAAATTTAGCAATGTCCCTACGTACACAGGACCTCAATCTTGTGTTATATAAATACAATATACAAGTAAGTTTGGATACGTCATTGAAGCGAGTTAATGTCTACAAAACACAGATACGGTCTTCAAATAGCAACATTCTATTCCTTCCGAACACACAGGGGCGACAGTAGCTACATATTTAACGTTTGTGACATATCATAGCATTTTAATGTGTGAACGTATTCTAGCTTACTTAATAGGCAGCGTTCTATCTACATATTTGAATAGTTTAGCATTGTAGAGAATGATTAGCATTTACGACAGGTTAATGCAAGATTACGTTTTTTTAATTCTTCTACACATATTTCACTATATACGGATTCTAGTTTTTTTGTGGATTTTCCATTTTACCTATCATGACAAGAGCAAAAATTCCAATAACGTATAATATTCAATATCTGAACAAGTTCTAGTGCCGTATAGCAATGACTCGGAAGTGGGAAGATATTGTCTAATGAAAAGCTAATTATGACATGCTAACAATTAAATAAATCTTAGCCATATTCCTTAATTATATAGTACTCTAAATCAATGGCAAATTTGTCAATACTGTATAAAATATTTTCAGATACAAAGGGAAAATGAATGAAAGCAATACTGACCTCGGAGGCTGTTCCACTCTGGCGCTGTAAAAATAGGTATCTTAATGTAAACAAACTATATATCACATATTGATACGAATACGAAAGTCTACAAATATGTAATTTCTCAAAAGTTCTTTGAATCACATAGCAACATCACTTACTATTATATCGTGAAAACAAAAATCCATCGCTGACTGAGATAACATTACACAAAGCAAAGAACAAGATAGCCTTCATCATTACAGTTGCCAGATACATGTATTCAGATGTCAGTCTTGTAAATGACTTGCTGGATGGGTCAACACAAGCTATACATACTAGCTCTGTTTACTCGCTCATTTCGGATGTGTACTTCCGGACTCCACTTAAGTTAACGTTCCTGTCAAATGCCAACACGTTTGAAGTGGAACGCTGGATAGGTCATGTAAGATAAAAGTTATGGTTCGTGGGTAGAGGTCATATAGCGTGCACATTTATGACGAGGGAATCATTGCATTAGTGTTTCAGAACTCTTAAACGTTATATTTCATTAGATTCTCGACTTGTTTGTGTTTATATGTGTCTTGCCTACATATGTATTGTCAGTTACGCAACGGCATATATGTATTATACAGAGGCGTGTTGCATAGTCCCAATATAACGATTTCAATGGTAGATGTCGACATTTGATAAACACGAGTTGTAGGCTGATATCAGCATTAGACAAGTATTATAGTCGTCATCAGGATATTATTGGGCTTATCTATTCCTTGTGAGGTGTTTAGATCAACGTATTCAATACTCGAGATTAGTCCAACACGTGTCATAATCTTACTGAGAAATGATCTATTCCTTGTGAGGTGTTGAGATCAACGTATTCGATACTCGATAGCAAGCATACACGTGTGATTATTTCTAATCCATATTTTACAACTTGGCATGGCTTTGATAGAACATGATTAAAATGTTGGTTTTTGCTTTACTTTTTATGAAACATATCAAAATAATACAACGAAATGTTACCCTTGAATCTGCTTGTGCCTATATATATGTACTTCTCAAAGCTGGATCATACCTTGGTGATGACACTACGGTCAGCAACAACATTAGACGCCAAATAGGTCTAGTTTGATGATGGTGATGACACTACGGTCAGCAACAACATTAGACGCCAAATAGGTCTAGTTTGATTTTGCAAAATATTGAACTTCTTTACAATGACTGAGTAACTAAACTGTATATTTATATTTGCAAAGAAAGTCTGAAAATGCAAACTTTACAGGTTTTTAACTCGTAACACAAGGTTTCAAATGATGCAGGTTGATGTAAATAATGGTTTTCGGTCATGATAGTAACCTGATTGAGAAATATTTCATTTCTTTGTGCAATATGTAGCTGGATGTGTTTCATGCTCGTTTGTTTGTCTGCTGGTTCTTTTGTTGTATACCTTGTTCTTAATTGAGATCATGGCATTACTTACTTGGATTGACCATGATTTACATAGCGGGTGTCGTCGATGAAACAGAATACGCTTACTTTTCTTAAACACGTGGTCCTCATCTCCTTGAACCAATTAAAAATGTAGGTTCTGTTCGTTGCATTGAAATACGTTTTTGTTCCAGTAGATACCAAACAATGAATGGAATAAAGGCAGTTGATGACTTAATCTTGTCGAGTAGAATACAATTTTATCAGGGAAAAAAATAAGAAAATACTAACAAGTCAACATATTTATAATCTTAACTCAATTTGAATAATACAAGGGGGCAGGATAAGAAGAAACGGAAGATTTTCACGAAGATTTCTGAAAAAGTGCAAGGAGTACGATACTTAATCAGCCGGTTTAATCGTGACGAGTTAAATACAATATCAACAGAGTATAAAGATACTAAACGTCATGTTACATTGCCGAAGGCACTTTCCGGTATATATATATACGATCTCCATTGCATATAAAATTTATGAAATGAGATTTTTTTTATTCTGACGAGCAACCGGGAAGTTAAAATGAATATATATAAATATGTGTGTGTGTCGTTTTCCATAAGTCACATCACGAACTAAGATAAAAATATATCTAAGACTGTAGTCATATGTGATAAGAAAACGGGGTTTTTCAACGATCAACTTTTTTTAAAGGTAAAATATTCGTGTTATTTAATAAAACATAATTAAGTACGATTTACGAATGTGCATTGTCATTTCAATATCGTTTTCTGATTTAACATATCACATTTATACACACTCGATATCCGTTGTCTTTTACAATGAATATCATTTCTATCTCATCGAGTGGGTAGCAAATATTGCCAGCACTCAAGATGAAATATGACTGTCATTCGTCAGATATTCCATTTACTTCTTACTTATCATCGAGCTCTAAAATTAGGAGTGGAAGCCTCACTAAAGGATTTAGAACACTGATTTCTCAACATTCACTGAGTCCAGTGTAAATATGCCTCTGTCTTTTTGTGTGCACTTTTGTTATTACTGCGTCAAAGAATTAGTTAAGTTTACCTATAACGTCCTATTAACGGCCAGTGTCATTTAAGAACACGCCAGTTAGTGTGGTGGTCAGACACCTGAAATATATCTACCGCGGCTCCGCTAAGCCTTATAATAAAGTTCAATGTCTGGGACATAAACCTCCACATAACTTAATATAGAAAAGGTGAGAATAACGCATATGATACAGATGCTATTAAGTAATTAGTAAGGAACATGCGAAATGATCATGGTTGTTCCACATAGTCAACCGATAAGTCACATGTCTGGTAATATTCTATGGATTATATCACCACTATTTTCAGGAAGTATTCTATACATTGGTATAATTTCTTGCCAAAGACCAGAGCAATGAAACTAAAACATACACCAAGACGGTTGATATAACGACCAGCTTTTAAGTTTCATTGCAAAATGAGCGAAAATAACAAAGCGAGACTTGATTATTACTTATAAATCTCGTACATTCCACGTAAAGCAGTAAATTACACTGCAATGACATAATCAATTGTTACATTCAAATTTGATGGTCAGGTGGCGCACTGGTATTGCACTTTCCTTTCACCTTGGCGTCCTGGTTCGATTCTGGGACCGGACACGAAAAGGTATAGGGTTTATTGCCCGACCACGTGGTTTTGTGTCCTTGCTACTCAATTTCGCATGCGATACCTTTATGGTGCCCTACACTTTTATACCGAAATGCACTGTAAGAGGGATTTATGGCATTAACTGGTATACTAAAAGACATTTGTAGCTCTCCTAAGTAGTGACAACGCAACTGTGTCAGAAAGAGCGGTTTAAAGCTTGTGGTTTGTTTGATGCGTAATGTGAAATGATACGTTAATGTCGAATATTCTAGTGGTAGTGGATTGGTCGTAACGAGAAAACACTTTAATGGATAACACTATTTATCTGTGTAGATTTGTCATTACCATTGTGATTTTGTATAAGAATGTCGATACACATTTTACTGGACACAATTTAAAATATCATTGCATGAACTTTTGAAAGTATTAGTACAACTGATTGATCTGAAGACTGGGGACACAGCTTGTCTGAACATATTGAAAAACATTCAATAGTCCAGAAGTTTAATACTGAATACATGCATATTGTACATTCGACACGTCTACAGAGTCAAAATAGACAACACAACATGATACAATAATGGCCTCACGCTTAACCAATTGAAAGTCATCGTGAACTTAACAAATGTTGAGAATTGCTGCATTCATGAAGATATGCAAAGTGGAAACTCGTGGAACATCATATAGACATTGTTAAACTGGTTCAATGAAGTTCTGACAATATTGTAATATTCCGAGGGGCAATTACATTGACAATGATTTCAGTTGAAAGCAAATATTTTTATGTCATTTTCATTTCGGATAATGTAATACCAAAGAAAATTATGAATAGGTATAAAAAACAAGCAAACAAACAAAACTGTTACGAATGAACATCTCTTATATATTGGTATATTAATTTATCGTCCTTTGAAGTGAAGTGACACATCACAATAATAATGTCATACACAGCAATATGATACTACTCTGGTATTTTGTGCGGACAATTAATGAATACTGGAGATTATTTTATAAGTCGTTAATGTATATGTAAAAATACTTACCTTTCAGAATGTACCATTCAGGAACTGAATTTCAAAAACTCAAATTCATTAGAAATTTACATAAATCACAAACTGTGTTTGTATCCAAACTGAAAACGCGTGATATATAAAAATGATTTATATCAATTTCAACAGTATACTTACTTCTCCAGTTTGGCAAAATGATTCCGTCACTAACTGAGATAACAGACAAAAGAGGCTCAAGGAGAAAAACATTTTTTTTTCGTATTTTAACCGTTTTAAGATATTTCATAACCAGTTATTTAGAACGTCCAATTACTATCAAATAAATCGATAACAACCCATTCATCAAATACTGGAAATAACCCCAAAGCGCATGCGCACGCATATTGCTTGCAGCCAAGTCAAACTTAATGATCATGTAAATGTTGCCAAGAGTCCAACGTCGGTTTTCAATAATAAGGATAATTATTTATACGAGTGATCCGATAGATCACAATAAGACCACTAGGCGATTTAATCCGTTGACGTTTTATTAACAAGTAGAATAATACTTTATCTCTCATTACATGTCCTTTCATCGTAATTGACGTATTTTTCGATCACTTCGGATTTGCCTCGGTCGCCTCCTAGGCTTCAAAATTAAGGCATCATTGATGAATCGTAGAAGGACGATACAACTGTATGATACAGTTTGATTAATTGTTTGGCTCTACTCTATCTAACTCTAATACTTTTAGGTGTGTCTCTTGTAGAGTCATAAGTTATCTGAAAATATTATATTGGATTCTCTAGCTCTGCGAACTGTTTACTAATCAAGCAATCAAATAAAAGCAGATACAGTTACTCATTTTAGCAAATCTTTAAAATATTATTGCTGCCACTTCTGAAGTTTTTAAGTGACGTCAATCTGTTGGTTGTCTAATGGTTGTTGTTATTGTAGTATCAGTTTTAATAGTAGACTTAGCGTTGTAGCTGTGTGTACTATCATTTTTAATGGTAGGCTTAGCGTTGTGGCTGTGTGTAATATCATTTTTAATGGTAGACTTGGCGTTGTAGCTGTGTGTACTATCATTTTTAATGGTAGACTTAGCGTTGTGGCTGTGTGTACTTTCATTTTTAATGGTAAACTTGGCGTTATAGCTTGGGTACTATCAGTTTTAATTGCAGACTTAGTGTTGTAGCTGTGTGTACTATCAGTTTT